TCGTCCGCAAGATTTAACGATAGCGGTCGTTCTTCGACGTGCCGCGATATTTCGAACGAGACCAAATCAAAAGACGCATGTAGGTTCCCCGTGCCGCGACGCCGGGCTCACACCAATTACACGAATACGCGCAATACATTCCCCCTGGGGTCGAAATAAGATGGCCATGCACATGCCGTCTGCAGTCGGTGTGCTTTCGAGCCATTAATCCTCAGACGTTACGGCGGACTGGACCGTGAGGATTAACTTCGCGGCTAATAAGAGGTGATCGCTCTGGAATTGCTAGAGGCGGTATTCTGTCCACTTGCCCATTACAGGTTCCGTCTCGAGTAAAGATTGACTTTCAGGCCATTACAGATTTCGCGCAGCATCGCTAGCGCCTCAATATTTTCGCTAGTATCAGCGTAGAAACAGTTGCCAGTAGTTGCCGTCGTACGGAATAGCGAAGATGTGTCGTGTTCAGTGGCCCTGTCGCCATCGTGGTTTCGGTTCGTCAAGTTTCATGTCAAAACGTGTACGATCTGGTCAACGAATGCTTTCGGAGAAGCTAGAATATTTAAATATAGCGCGAGATACTTCATTCGAGAGCAAGCGTCTAGACGTCCCTGAATCAACACACTAACATCGTACTGCTAAGCGACATTATGGGCTCCAGCTAGTATTGAAAAGTTTGTTTGAAGCAGGAGCATGCATAATGCATAGTGGCTTTTCTCAACTGGCCCGACAGACGAGTAAAGCACACGTAGACACTTCAGCAAATAACTGCGCGATTACTACTTGAGAAAGTAATTAAATCCACACACACAGCGTGGCGGATCTGTGTGGCTTAGTGTGTACCATTATCATAGATTGCATGTGATCCAACTGATACTGAATTCCGCTTGATATGAAGCTTCTATGGAATCGACAAACCCTGTTGCTCTTTTTGAACTAACTAAATTTCCGTTGAACATTTTGATATATTACACACACGCGCTCGCGCGCGCGCACACACACACACACACACACACACACACACACACACACACACACACACACACACACACACACACTACATCACCATCCATAACGCATCCATCCATTCCATCCATGACGCATCCATCCATCCGATCCATCCATCCTCCCATACCATCCAATCCATCCAATGCATCCATACCATCATCATCCATCATCCATCTATCCATCCTATGCATCCATCCCATCCATCCATCGCATCATCCATCCATCCTCATCCATCCATACCATCCTCCATTCTATCCATTCATTCATACCATCCATACCATTCATCCATCAATCTATCCATCTATCCATTCATCATCGGTACAATTCCATCCATCTATCCTGCATCCATTTATCTATCCATCTTCCGTCCATACATCCATCCATACTCTTCCATCATCCATCCATGTCATGTTATTCTACCTCCAATCATCCATCCATCCACCATCCATGATGCAGTCCAATCCTACCCATACCATCCATCCATCCCTCCATCCTCTATCCATCCATCATCCATCCACCCCTCCATGCCATTCATTCATACCATCCATTCATCTATCATCCATCCATCCATCTATCGATCCATCCATCATCCACCATCCATCCATCCATCCACCATCCATCCATCCATGTCATCCATCCATCCATCCATTTCATGCCATCCATCCATCCATCCATCCATCCATCCATCCATCCTCATACCATCCATCCATCTCCATACATCCTGCCATGGCCATCCATCCCATCCATTCCATCCATGCCACATCCATCCATCCATCATTCATCCATTCGTGACCAATCCATCCATCCATCCTCCATCGAACCTCGATCCATCCATCATCCATCCCATCCATCCATCCATTCCATTCCATCCATCCATCACCCATTCGTCATCAATCCAATCCATCCATCCATCATCCATTCCATCCTATCCTCATCCATCCATCCCATGCCATCCATCCATACCATCGCATCATGCCATACCATTCATCCATATTGGCATCTATGTTACCGAGTACGGATCGATCATACGCGAGATTAGGAATGATGCACTGCATATAGATGGATGGATGGACGCGATGGATGAATGGATAGATTGATGATGCCAAATTGATGGAACGGGAAGGACGAACGAATGGATAGTTAATGGATAGGATGCATCGGCTATGGATGACGGATGGATGGAGCCGAGTATAGCATGGCAAAATGCATGAATAGCATGATAGATCAGGTATGGATGCGGCGAAATTAGATAGATGGATGAGATGGATGGATGATGGATGAATGGATGGATGATGTATGGATTGAACTACATAAATTGACTGTACGCCGATGGAGATTCGCAACATGAGTGAACAATGTGATGGATTAGATGGATCAATAGATGGATGTATGGATGGATGGATGAGGATTGCTTGATAGATCGCGATCGACTGGATGGCATGCAAATGATGGATAGATGGAGTGGAATGCGTTGATGGACTGGAAATGGATGGATGGATGATGGATGGATGGATGGATGGATGCAAATATGAATGGGATAGACCGAGTGGATAGAATTCGCGATAAATGGCATAATGGATGGACGGGACACGACATGAACGATTGGAGTACCATTAAAATGTAGCTGAAAATCCACTTACCAAACATGCACCAGTGAATGCCAAATCGGCAATCGGACGAACAAAATGGATAGAAGGATGGATGGCCACAATGGTGGCGGCCCTGATGGAGCCATCTACTCGATTATGTGTAACTTCTCTAATCGAAGTCTCGGCTGGCACAAATGGTCCATCTTCAAAAATCTATGAGAAAAAGTCACGCTAGTATCAAATCACCAGAATAACAAATTGTCTTAAAATGTCTAGTACTTGAGTTAGTAAGCGGACGGCTCGTATCGATATTCTGCGCTGTACAAAACACTGGTCTCTTTCATTGGGCTATCGCAACACACCGAGAACATTTGGGCCGACGAGGTTAAGTTATGAATAAAAGAAGGCTAGCACGAGAAGTCACTGACAACCCGACAAAGATCGAATAAGGGGATAGAGGTGGACGGCGCGAGCAATGACACAGAGCTAAAGTATGTCAATAACAAATCACAAAAGAACCACACAGTGTCCAAACAGCTAGCTGGGTGCATGAAAGGCAGGCCCGAGAGCGAGAGCCGCGGCAATATTAGGAGCCTTTGAAAGTACTGGGAGAGCACCGGCGAATGCTAAAATGAGCTTGGGATAAATGGTATGAAGAAGCGTGGGTCAGTGTGTGTGTTGTGTGTGTTGTGCGTGCGTGCGTTCACGTGAGTCGCCGCGGTGACAAGCTACGCCGGTCTTCATTGATTGTGTTCTACGTATCCTCAAGGTGTGACGTGGCGTCGTCATGGTAGTGATTACGCTGCGTCCATGTGCTCGGCAGTTGTTGGTAACTCCGAGTGACGTGAGTTTGAGTAGTTGTCGCGTGTCTGTTGATGTTAATAGATGTGTGTGAGATGGGTAGTTGTATGCAGTGGAAAATTTTTTCGTGGGTAATGATCATGCAACGTACGTTGATATAAGTATGTATTTAGTCGGTATGTATGTATGTATGATATGTATGTATGTATGTACTTATGTATGTATGTAATGTATGGAGTCCGAGTCTAATGGCTAAATGGAGTACTGGTCTAGGTTGAGTTTGTGTGAATGAATTGTGAGTGAATTGCAAAGAATGTGATGTTGTTGTCCTAAGTTCGTGG